CTGTTGGTTCCTTGCCTTAGGCAGATGCACTCCAACTTCAAAGGAGACCCCTAATTAGTCAGCTCTAATGACATGTGTATTAGTGGATCTATCTGCACACCCGCCCCCACCTCTCCAACCCCACATGGGGGGGGGGGGGGGGGGGGAAGAAACACTAATGGAAACACTATTGTTTGGAAAGACAGAATGGATTATTTTATGATCAGCCAGAACAAGACATAAACAGTACTGGATTTATTACCAGAACAAGACATAAACAGTACTGGATTTATTACCAGAACAAGACATAAACAGTACTGGATTTATTACCAGAACAAGACATAAACAGTACTGGATTTATTACCAGAACAAGACATAAACAGTACTGGATTTATTACCAGAACAAGACATAAACAGTACTGGATTTATTACCAGAACAAGACATAAACAGTACTGGATTTATTACCAGAACAAGACATAAACAGTACTGGATTTATTACCAGAACAAGACATAAACAGTACTGGATTTATTACCAGAACAAGAAAAAACAAAAGTAAATTAGTTTATTACAGAACAAGAAACAAATAACACTAGATTAATTGATCATGAGAACATGCAATAAAAAAACAACAACAAAAATTAGTTTATCATCAGAACAAGACAAAAACAACACTGAATTAGTCTATCATCAAAAAACACAAAATACAACTTTCTGTAGCTTTAATCGTAACTTTTAAAACAATCTTCAATTCATTCTACAGACGGTTTAGAACCAGTAAGTAGTGAAACACAACAAGCATATATCAAAGTGGTTAAAATCAGCAACAGATGTGACATGTCGTATGATCCTAAAAAACCAACAGTGAAATCAACTGAAACAAAGATATGTAGCAAGTGGTTTAGAACCGATGGTAAATGCAACTGAAACATACATGTTACAAATGGTTTATAGCAGGTAATGATTGTAACCCAGACATGTTACAGTATGGTTTGAATAGGCCAGTTACGCAACTCATCTGTTACAGTCTGGGAAATGAATTCAACTCAAATAAGTTACAAACTGGATAAAATAAGCCAATAATGTAACTTTGTAAATTTGAGTAGAATGCAGACAGATAAAAGAACACAAATATGTTATACATTAGCATAAAATGGATAATAAATGTACAAAACATGGATAATAATGTACAAAACATGGATAGTAAATGTACAAAACATGGATAGTAAATGTACAAAACATGGCGAGCAGGCAATTAATGTAATTAAACTATGCAACAAAACTGTGCAGAGCAGAGAATGAATGTAACTCAAATATGTTACTCAACTGGATAGAATAAGTGATTTATGTAACTTAAATATGTTACACAACTGTGCAGAGCAGAGAATGAATGTAACTCAAATATGTTACTCAACTGGATAGAATAAGTGATTTATGTAACTTAAATATGTTACACAACTGTGCAGAGCAGAGAATGAATGTAACTCAAATATGTTACTCAACTGGATAGAATAAGTGATTTTATGTAACTTAAATATGTTACACAACTGTGCAGAGCAGAGAATGAATGTAACTCAAATATGTTACTCAACTGGATAGAATAAGTGATTTATGTAACTTAAATATGTTACACAACTGTGCAGAGCAGAGAATGAATGTAACTCAAATATGTTACTCAACTGGATAGAATAAGTGATTTATGTAACTTAAATATGTTACACAACTGTGCAGAGCAGAGAATGAATGTAACTCAAATATGTTACTCAACTGGATAGAATAAGTGATTTATGTAACTTAAATATGTTACACAACTGTGCAGAGCAGAGAATGAATGTAACTCAAATATGTTACTCAACTGGATAGAATAAGTGATTTATGTAACTTAAATATGTTACACAACTGTGCAGAGCAGAGAATGAATGTAACTCAAATATGTTACTCAACTGGATAGAATAAGTGATTTATGTAACTTAAATATGTTACACAACTGTGCAGAGCAGAGAATGAATGTAACTCAAATATGTTACTCAACTGGATAGAATAAGTGATTTATGTAACTTAAATATGTTACACAACTGTGCAGAGCAGAGAATGAATGTAACTCAAATATGTTACTCAACTGGATAGAATAAGTGATTTATGTAACTTAAATATGTTACACAACTGTGCAGAGCAGAGAATGAATGCAACTCAAATATGTTACTCAACTGGATAGAATAAGTGATTTATGTAACTTAAATATGTTACACAACTGTGCAGAGCAGAGAATGAATGTAACTCAAATATGTTACTCAACTGGATAGAATAAGTGATTTATGTAACTTAAATATGTTACACAACTGTGCAGAGCAGAGAATGAATGTAACTCAAATATGTTACTCAACTGGATAGAATAAGTGATTTATGTAACTTAAATATGTTACACAACTGTGCAGAGCAGAGAATGAATGTAACTCAAATATGTTACTCAACTGGATAGAATAAGTGATTTATGTAACTTAAATATGTTACACAACTGTGCAGAGCAGAGAATGAATGTAACTCAAATATGTTACTCAACTGGATAGAATAAGTGATTTATGTAACTTAAATATGTTACACAACTGTGCAGAGCAGAGAATGAATGCAACTCAAATATGTTACTCAACTGGATAGAATAAGTGATTTATGTAACTTAAATATGTTACACAACTGTGCAGAGCAGAGAATGAATGTAACTCAAATATGTTACACAACTGGATAGAATAAGTGATTTATGTAACTTAAATATGTTACACAACTGTGCAGAGCAGAGAATGAATGTAACTCAAATATGTTACTCAACTGGATAGAATAAGTGATTTATGTAACTTAAATATGTTACACAACTGTGCAGAGCAGAGAATGAATGCAACTCAAATATGTTACTCAACTGGATAGAATAAGTGATTTATGTAACTTAAATATGTTACACAACTGTGCAGAGCAGAGAATGAATGTAACTCAAATATGTTACTCAACTGGATAGAATAAGTGATTTATGTAACTTAAATATGTTACACAACTGTGCAGAGCAGAGAATGAATGTAACTCAAATATGCTACAAAGAATTAACTCAAATAATGAACAAACTGGGTAAAATGGACTATAAATGTATTTCAAATTTGTTGTGAGAGTGGACAGAATGAGCAATCAGTGTTTATCTCTTTCTCAATTTGCTAGCCTCTTTAAGGCAAAAACGTACCTTAAACAACAGAAAACTTTAGCTGCAAAATCCAATCTGTCAGACAGTCTAAAAAAAAATGGTTTATGGAATATGAATGACAAAATCCCTGTGTGTGGGTCCCTAGGCCCCATTCTGGAGGGGGGGGGGGGGCAGACCCACTGCCTACCTAACATGCATATTATATAAGGCAACTAATTACAAATGATTCCCTCCTTTTTCTTTACACCCACAAGCTGTAAACAGCAAAAAGTTATGACTGTTCTTTCACTTTGTTAAGACTTTAGTTCTGTTTTAGCTCATGATTTTTTCATGTACATTCATTCTACAGACATGGCTTATGCATACACAGACTGTCTGATTGCTTACCTCTAGTTCTGTGTTGGTTTCTTATTCTTTTTTTGTGTTTTGTTTTCTATATAGTGCTCTTGTGTGGCCATCACCCTGTTTATCTGGCTGTTCTAGCAGTCTGGTCTAGGCAAATGCACCCTGACTTTGTCGGAAACACTCTTAACTAGTTCAATTTTAAAACATGCTTGTTAGAAGGCAGTGGATCTATTCCCCCCCCCCCCCCCCCCTTTTCCCCAGTGGGGCCCTGGAACTCACACTAGAATTCAAATAAATGACAAACAGTTACACATTCTCAAACATTATTTCAACAATAAAATAAACAGGCGGCAATTTTACTTGAAAAAGTAAACAAGTAAATTGTCATGGACGGATACTAACGATATGTATAAAATAAGCATATCAAACCACTTTATACCTCAAAGCTGATGTTTTTCAAGGACCAAACAAAAGAAACTATTTGAACCAGTTTTTATTAGACTTCTTTGTTGCCTATTGGGAAAACCATCTGTTCCATCTTTACCAGGTTTTGTTGACACTGTGTCTTTGGACAGTGCACAGTGCACCTGTATGAGAGCTTTGATACTGGTTGCAACTGCATATTCTGTAGGCATCATGTGCATGATTATATTTACGGATTATCTGGAGTTAAAAAATGTTTGAATAAACTGGATTCACCGTGGCATTATGTAATTTCATTATTGTATAACATTGCTCTCTGTGGCAAAGTGACCAAAACCACTTTTAAATGGTAAAAGGGAGAGAAATCAGTTAATTAGCTGCTCAGTTTGTATTTATTGGTTGCAGAGATAACTCTTTCCTGAACGAGACATTTAGTAGCTTGGAAAGACTGTTTAAAATATTTTAGTGTTATGAAGTCATCAAAGAAGCCAAGGACTTCAGCCTGTTTGTCTACTCTTTCTCAACATGTTCAACCCAATGGATATTTTTAAAAACTGTCTAAAACTCTAAATTGTTTCTCCTTTTTCTCCTCCTCTTCTTTTTTTTTAAATGAGAGAATTACAAGGATAGTTTTATTTAACAAAAAAAAAACAAATTATAACCCTCATAAAATGATCCCAGTTTTTTTTCCCCTCACTCTGGGCTGCTACAGAACTGTCTCATACACCCTCAGATTACACAATATCAACAGGATGGCAACCAACAGGGAAGATCTGAGATATGTTCCACATTCCAAAAAGTTCTAATTAAGGCACCCGTAATGGCAACACCAGCTTGGTGTAACCTGTAGTCCGGTGCGAACCAGGACAGCAATCAATGACATAAATAATTTCTTGACAATAGAAACTGTGTGGAATGTGATAAAGATATATTTGTCTTCATACAATGTTACATTTACTTGATCATTTGTCTTTAATTTACGGACTTCAGAGACTTAAGTTCCTGATAAAATGACTCCTCTGCTTGCAAACTTGCCTCCAAATGCTCAACAACCAAAGATAACTTCAGGGTCACATCAACAGGGAGTCAATGCTTTGATCTTTGCGCTTTCTGAGGACAACAAACAAAAGATGAAAAGCCTCTATATCTTCTTCTACTCCTATGTTCATGCTTAAGAGGATGAATGCCACGTTGTTGATTACAGCTAGGCTTTGATATCTGCACCTTTCAGCCTACTGTATCTGACTTCAGCAAGTACTTGCCTCTTTCAGTCACAAGCAAGGCACAATGTCGGACTAACACCATCCCTTGATTTTCCACCACAGCACCATGTGATCACACCATAGCATCATGTGATCCCACCATATAGCATCATGTGATCTCTTTAGTTTACTTCAGATTAACATTTATTCAGAACCACAGAAATCTGGCTTCTCCAATGTAATTACCACTGTGCGTATTGCCACTTGGAAAGTCACGCATTCATGATTTCCATCCTGGTTATTTCTTCACTTGGCATCTCTTGTGAAACTTACTGGTATTAAACGAGTGCAGTCTTGCAGTCATTTAGGAAGAAAATAGTGGAAGAGACTAGTGGCTTTTGAGCTGAAATTCTACAGAAAGATTCTCAGACAACTGTGGACCAAGAAGAAAAGAAATACTGACCTCATAAAGATCTGAACATTAAAGAAGATGAACAGCATCTTATCTCAGATTGAAATATTTTGGCTACATCAAAAGCCACAGTGATTTTTAGAAAAAAAAAATAATAGCGGAAGGTATAATACTGAGTAAGATGGCACGGACCAACAAGCAGGAAGATGGGCAGATGATATAAATGCATATTGTAGGAAAGCTGGTGAGAGACTGAGTTTCTTTCAGGCAGGCTGTGGGGAGAGTAATGTTCTACAAAGGATCTGAAGGTGCTGGCTGGATTCCATTCATGATGTCAAAAGGATTGCATAGGATAGATGTTTATGTTTATTCAATGGATCAACATCATGGCACACGGGTGTAACCCATAAGTGCTTCATTCTACTTCTAACTCAAGCCTGAGTCTGAAGAATCACAGCACAGTGCAAGGATCCTGCATTACTTTGGGTAGGTTTTTAACTCAACATTTTGCCCAGGCAGGGCTGTTAGGCTACTCTTTTTGGATTTCCAGCTGCCAGGGTATTTTTTAATGTGCGCAACAATACACATGGGCATTCGGTCTTACCACCCAGAGACCAGGGGAAATTACTAGAAATCCACATGAAAAAAATCACAGCCTTCACCGGGGTTTGAACCCGGGACCTCCAGCACTTGAGGTGGATGCCATACCTCAAGACCACTCAATCCCCACTCAGGATAGAAAAGAATGGGGCAATAGCCTGCGAACCCTATGTGACATATAATGGCACAAGATGACAGTGAGGATAATTTTAGTTGGCATCAACCTGAGAGTCTATCTACATTGTTTAAAAAGTTCAAGCCTCAATAAAGATTTGAATATTCAGCCAATATTCAAGCCTGGTGGCTTGCAGACAAACATGCTTGCCACTTCACCATCAATAAACTTTTACCAAAAAAATATGGGAAACCTTCACTGGCTGCTAAAGAAGGGGACGGAGCACATGTGGGTAATCATGTACTGCAGTTCCAACTTCATAAGCAAATGAGTGATTCCATAGTTGTTGTGTTCCTGTGCCAATGAAACCCATACAGAATGTCCACCACTGTCAAATCCAATATCATACATATGCATTAAATGCATAAGGCAGCCATCAGAAGCGCCAACACAAACAGTCCAATACTAGAAATACAGATCATCAATGGAAGCAGCAGTTGCAACAGATCAGTTGCACATGTAATTAACCAATTAGGGCACCATAACTTCTCTGGCAACAACAAAGCATGTAGGCACAGTAAAAAAAAAAGACATTTCAAACTAAATCTACAGCTCACAGTGTCACACCATTCACTCATCTCAGTAGCTGGTGTTGGAACTATATCATTTAAGTCTACACATGGTGAAAAATGCAAAAACCTACGGTGGCTAAAAACAGAAAAACTGCCTATCACCATACTGATGTATAGGAATGTCTCATTGGCATAAATGTAAACTTTTGATTCATTATTTCCTTCTCTGTACATTATTATTTAAAAACAAAAAATGCAAACTCACTTCTTGGTACTTTTGGGTCGGCTGGCAGTTTTGGGACGGTTAGTCTTTGACCCCTTGCTGGTGCCAGGCCGCAGCACCTCCATTTCACCTTTCCTGTCGTATGCCAGATAAATGTGGGATAGGTCTACGTCTGGATTCTGTGGGATAGATGCAGGTGATGACAATTAGCAGACCTTTAAAATCACAACCCAGAATTGTGGCACCAACTGTATTCCCCTATGTCTTCTTCTTTTCACTTATCTGAGTGATGTGATTGTGTTGTGCCTGTTGACAGTAAAGCTGCAATATTTTTGCCTTTTGGCCCACACATCCAACATCATCAAGCATTTATCAACCGGGTTAACTTCCCAAGTATTCCACTATCTGTTAATCATCATGTATCTTTCTTTTGTCTCCTTAGTGGTACCAGGTTGTAGCCTTGTGCTGTGGCATCCTGTGTTACTCTATTTTAATTATCAAATTTAACTCTGTGTTAATTATCGTGTGTTACTGCGTTAATTATCACATGTTAACTGTGTGTTGATTACCACACGTTAACTATGTGGTAGTTACCACATATTAACTCTGTTAATTACCACATGTTAACTATGTTGTAGTTACCACATATTAACTCTGTTAATTATCACATGTTAACTGTGTGTTAACTACCACATGTTGACTGTGTGTTAACTACCACATGTTAACTAATCAGGTATATGATGTTAGTCTATTCTTCTATAGACCAACTGGCCCTCAAAGAGTAACGCGGTCAACATCCTGCCAGCCATCTTCACTTCCGATGACATGACCTAGCACCCATGTGAGGCTGGGTCGACCTGGTAACCTAAGTCATTGAAAAAAGGTCTAGTCGTTACATCAATACAGGTTCTCAATTATCGTGCATTACTCTGTGTTAATTTAGCAACGAATCACAATTTGTCTCTCCCTCATGACATTTAATAGCTTCTTCTTCTTCTTCTCTTCCACCTTGTACCTCATCGAAGTGTCGGGGGGGGGGGGGGGGGGGGGGGGGGGGAGATGTAATGTTCGTTGATGGGCTGTGTCAAGAGCACTATTAAGACTGATGTTCATTTCTGTAAGGCAGTTCTTAATGCCATCACTCCATCTTTTCCGAGGTCTTCCACTCGCTCTATACCCGTTGTAACGTTTTAGTGTGGCTCGCTGTGGCGGATAGTACCAGGGCATTCTTGTTAGGTGTCCAAACCACTTCATTTGTTGTTCTTTGATGACCTGTAAGACTGTCTTTATTCCTAGCATTCGTCTGATTTCATGATTGCGTATTCTGTCTTTCCTTGAAACTCCTGCAGCTCTTCTAAGGCATTTCATCTCTGCTGTCACAATTTTACGTTCATTGGAGGATGTAAGTGTCCACATTTGGCATTGATAGCATAACATTTAATAGCAATAGTGGAAATCGACTATGATTATTCTGTGTTCATTATTTTTGGTACTGAGAGCCAAATGCATAAGGCTGCCATCAGAAGTGCCAACACAAACATTCCAGCAATAGAAATGCAGTCCATCACCAATGGATGCAGAGTTAAAACAAATCAGTAGTTGCATATGCAATAAACCACACAGGGCACCACCAGTTCTGGCCACTGGCCATTTTCTGAATCTGCAGTTTCCCAACACAAATCACGTTGGGCACAAGCAAAAAGCCTTCCAAATTAAATCTGCAGCTCACAGTGTGGCGCTATTCACTAAACTCAATAGCCTGGCAATGGAACTATACACTTTCAGTCTATTTATAGGGAAACATTTAATAGCTAGCAGTTGTCAGAAGTAAATAACCTGCCATGACTAAAAACAGTAACCATGCATTTCTACCGTACTGGACCAAAAGTCTATAGGCTCTGTTGCCTAACAGACACAGCTGCAGGACTGCGAAACATTTTTTAACAGACATGTGCACATGAATATTTTAACAGACATGTGTACGTAAAAATTTAAACAGACATGTGTACGTGAACATTTTAATAGTTGTGTATGCGCAAATTTTAACAAACATGTGAACATGAAAATTTTAACAGACATGCATACTGGAAAAATTAACAGACATGTGTAAATGAAAATTTTAACAGATTTGTGTATTTCAAATGCTAACAGAATGTGTACATGAAAATTTTAACAGATTTTGGTATGTAAATTGTTAACATACATGTGTAGGTGAAATTTTAACAGACTTGTGTTTGTGTATTGTTAACATACATGTGTAGGTGAAATTTTAACAACCATGTGCAATTGAAAATGTTAACAGACATATGTACTTCAAAATTTAAAAGACATGTGTACATGAAATCTTTACCAGACATGTGTACATGAACATTTTAATAGACAAGTGTTCGTAAAAAATTTAACAGACGTGTATGTGAAATTTTAACAGACATCTGAATGTGAAATGTTAACATACATGTGAACGTATGTGAAAATTTTAACAGATATGTGTACGTTAAACATTTTAACAGATGTGTGCATGAAAATTTTAACAGACATGTGTACATGGAAACTGTAACAAAAATGTGTATGCTACCTTCTCTTTTTCCTTTTCGGGTTGAGGTGTTTGCTTCCTCATGTTGTTTCCGGTGTAGGCCACACACCTCAGCTGCCACTCCCCGATGTCTTCGTTCCAGTGTACATGGTTCTCAATCATGTCCTAAGACAGGAACACATACGTCATCAACATTCTGCAGGAAAAGTCCACATACTTCATCAACTTTCTGCACGAAAACAGTCCACATACTTCATCAACTTTCTGCAGGAAAACAGTCCACATACTTCATCAACTTTTTGCAGGAAAACAGTCCACATACTTCATCAACTTTCTGCAGGAAAACAGTCCACATACTTCATCAACTTTCTGCAGGAAAACAGTCCACATACTTCATCAACTTTCTACAGGACAACAGTCCACATACTTCACCAACTTTCTACAGGAAAACAGTCACTGATCAAATTTCTGGGAGAAAGGGATGAGGTCGACTGTTGATCACATTCATGAGGGAAAACTGACAAAAATCACAGAGGAAACAATTCTTGGTACTTTTCAGCTTTTTCCCTCCATCTTATCAGCTGCAAGATTTAGTAGGAAATTTGTGAGGGGGTAGGGGGGGGGGGGGGTAGAAGAGTATAGAGTCCTAGGAGGTCAATATTGCTCAACAAATTTCTAGCAGAACAAAATTACGGAGGGGGGAATTGGTTCAATAGTTGATAAAATTCAAGAGGGAGCAATTCTTGATAAAAATTTCTTAAGAATTATTATTGATTAATTTCTTGAAAAAAAAAAAGGATGAAATAAAGGGAGGTGGGGTATGAAGGAGTCACATTCTTGATCAAAGTCTTAGGATGAAAATGTTCTTCATCAAATGGAAATAAATTATTGATAAAATTTATTTGAGGGTGTTGGGGTGGTTGTGGCATTAAAAAATATTCTTGATCAAAGCTGCACTAGAAAAAATTACTGATAAAATTTCTGGAAAAAACACAATTACCTGATAATTCAGGAAGGGAACAAATTTATACAGAAAACTGATGTCAAATCAATAGGTGAAACAAATTCTGATCCAATCCAAGTAGGAAACAATGCAGCTCACTAAAGCAGTTGGTACCAGGGTATTCTCATCAGATGGCCAAACTGTCTCATCCACAGCTATTTAATAAACTGCATTTGATAAAATGAAGAACATTTTATGCAATAAATTCATGTCATTGGAGGTTAGGAAGAGAATTCTCCCATGCTATATAGTGCCAGTTCAACCAAATGGATCTGAATCCTAGATAATTAATAAACGAGCCAAACAAGTTCTTGAAGCCTCAGAGATTTGGTTTTATAGAAGAATCCTCAGAATTGTTTTCACAGCCAAAAAGAGGAACCTAGATGTTTTAAAAGAGGCGATAAGTTGTGGACAGACATGGCTACCAAAGACACATGGCAGGCACTACAAATGAAAAAAAGAAAGAAAGAAAGACAGCAAACTTGACAGCATTATATCATAACCTTATGTCTCCTGTCTTCTTCTCAAAGGCCACACCATGTGTCATTTGTAGACATGTCTATCTTCAACCTTATGTCTCCTGTCTTCTTCTCATAAGCCACACCATGTGTCATTTGTAGACATGTCTATCTTCAACCTTATGTCTCCTGTCTTCTTCTCACAGGTAAACCATGTGTCATTTGTAGACATGTCTATCTTCAACCTTATGTCTCCTGTCTTATTCTCATAAGCCACACCATGTGACATTTGTAGACATGTCTATCTTCAACCTTATGTCTCCTGTCTTCTTCTCAGAGGTAAACCATGTGTCATTTGTAGACATGTCTATCTTCAACCTTATGTTTCCTGTCTTCTTCTCATAGGCCACACAATGTAACATTTGTAGACATGTCTATCTTCAACCTTATGTCTCCTGTCTTCTTCTCATAAGCCACACCATGTGACATTTGTAGACATGTCTATCTTCAACCTTATGTTTCCTGTCTTCTTGTCATAGGCCACACAATGTAACATTTGTAGACATGTCTATCCTCGACCTATTGTTTCCTGTCTTCTTCTTTTTATAGTCCATGCCATATGGCATTACTAGTCACGTCTATCCATTACCTTTTGTCTCTTGTACTTTCATTTAATTCTGACACAGATGATCTTCTATGCCATGATGTCAAACTGGCCAGCATCTTCTCTCTCGGTCTCCCTCTGGCTCTCGGTCTCCCCTCTAACTTTCCCACCATCATGATGTACTTGAGTTTTTACACACTCATGATATGACCAAAGAATAGACTGTATCCTTCTGAAGTGAGCAATCAGTTCTCTTTGCGAGTCACTTTCTTTTAAGATATCTTCATTATCTTTTTATCTGTCCAGGGCGTTCTCATTATGCATCTATAAAACAACATCTCCACCACTTTCACATGATTTTTCACTATCTGGCCAAATGTCCATGATTTACTTCCATATATCATGCATCTTTCTACAGAATGGCTGCCTGCCTACTGAGAGCACTGCACAAAGCACCACCTCTGTAGCTCCAGAAGACTGTAAAACTGACCTGATACATGGTAGGGATGTAGCTGTCAATAATCATCATCTGTAGCTTCAGGTCTCTGCTCAACTGCCGTACATTTTCTAGCAGTCCCTCCATCTCTCTTTGGTGTTCTTGATGAATGTCTGCAATCTGTACAGGCAGAGGAATCATTTGGTTATATTTTACACATAGGGGAATCATGTTTGTTATATTGTACACACAGGGGAATCATTTTTGTTATATTGTATACATAGGGGAATCATTTTTGTTATATTGTACACATAGGGGAATAATTTTTGTTTTATTGTTCACAAAGGGAAATAATTTTTGTTATATTGTACACACAGAAGAATCATTTTTGTTATATTGTACACACAGGGAAATCATTTTTATTTTATTGTACACACAGGGGAATCGGAAAATCATGTTTGTTATACTGTACACACAAGGGAATAGGGAAATAATTTTTGTTATACTGTACACACAATAAATCATTTTTCTGATACTGTACCCATAGGGGAATTACTTTTGTGATACTGTACACAGAGGGGAATTACTTTTTGTGATACTGTACATACAGGGGAATTACCTTTTTTATACTGTACACATAGGGGAAATACTTTTGTTATACTGTACACACAGGGGAAATACTTTTGTTATACTGTACACATAGGGGAATTACTTTAGTTTTACTGTACATATACATAAATAATTGTAAATATTGTACGCACATAGGAATAATTTATGTTACACTGTACACACAGAAAATACCTTACAACACTGAGGTAATCTGTTGGTACTTATATGCATTCATCACCAGGTTCTGTGTCCTGAAGTCAAATGTTACAAACACATGGGAAACTACACACAGGACATGAGCAGCTAACTAATGACACCTGACCTCTGACTTTGCCTGCATTAGCATGGTCCAGACCCTCTTCAGCTTCTTGGTCTTGCCTTGAACCTCCTCTTGTAGGCTGGAGTACTTCTCCTCAATGTCCAAGCGTTCTTGCTGTAATGTATGAGGTGTGGTCAGTGCATAGAACAGATAAACCCATACAATGTAGTGTAAGCGAAACTGTTTTGAGAAGGGCATGGATATTCAACTGGTGGCTGGCTGACTGAATCTGGCCCGCCGAGGCCATTACCCACTTTATTGTTTTAGTGTTCTTTCTATGCTGGGACTTGGGCCTCTGGCCTGTAACAATCCCCATTTTCAAATTGTGTGCCTGATTGTTCAGCTGAATAGGCCTCCTGGTGCAGAGTATATCTTCTCCTGTTTTCAAACATAACCGTGGATCCTGGACAATTAAAAAACAAGCTATATAACTTCTCGAGGTGTCAGAAATGTTGTTAAACAGAAGAATTCTTAAAATTCCTTGGACAGCCAAAAGGAGCAACCCAGATGTTTTGAAAGAAGAGAAGGCTCAAAGACGTCGTTTCACAAATATCAGTAAGAGAAAGACATATTTGTTTGGTGATTATATGAGAACAAGGAAAGTGGAACATGTTGTGACCCAAGGAGGGGTCTCAGTACACAAACAAACTGATACACACTGTTGAAGACTGCAGATGTGGAGAGGCATGATCGCCTGTGCCAGTTGGAACCTGATGATGATATCTTCTCCTGGTCATGCTCCAGGGATCTCTATAGACAGGAGGTCATGCTCCAGGGATCTCTATAGACAAGAGGTCAAGCTGTCTGCCTTGCACTCTGAAAGTCTACGCTCAGAGGAAAGGCAAGATGGACATACAATCAAACTGCTACTGGCACCAACAGAACTGGAAGGTAGATACAAGACATTGAAGACACACTGGCTATGAAAGCAAACATGGCTAGAGAACTAGCTAGAGAAAGAGAGGCTTTCAGGCGTGCAGTGATGACAGCAAGGTTTTTTAAAGGACAAGATGACTGATCCTGATCTCTGATAAGTCACATTCATGAAAACAAGAAGTTACTTTACTATGAATTAAAAAAAAACACAAAAAAAAAACAACAACAATAACAAGTCATAAAATGCTGACTCACTTCTTTCTCCTCTAGTGCTTTCTTCAACTGCTCCTCCTTCTCTTTACGGAGTTCCAGTTCTCTAGCGCTCTCCTCCAGCAGTCGCTCCTGTTCCTCAGCCTTCTCCAGAAGATTCTCTCCTCCGACGATGATCTTCTTCTCAATGACACACAGCTTCTGCTTCAGCTGCTCCTGTTCATCTCTAGAGGCAACATTTAAAACAGTGAAGACGGCACACACAAAATAATATGAGAATTAACACTGGAAAGACAAGAAATGTCTAGATGAAGAAAGAAGCAAAGCTTACATGCAGCAGTAGAGTGCAAAGAGATAACTGAACCCCTTTTACAGCAAAGAGACAATTGAACGAACCCCTTTTACAGCAAAGAGACAATTGAACCCCTTTTACAGCAAAGAGACAATTGAACCCCTTTTACAGCAAAAGACAATCCCAATCAGAACGAAGAAACATCTCAATCTCATACAAAGCATGTTCAGGAGTGACCAGAAGAGAACAAATCAGGAATTGGACAGTGAGAAAACAAAAATTGACACAAACCAAATTAAATTACAAAGGCCTTAAATAAAATGGTTTGTTCACTTAAGAGAGAATGCCTTGAGACGCTATAGCATGCACTTTACAAGGCTTACAACAAAAGAGAAGACGGACGTAGAGCACGAGGCAGACAAAGAACAAGATGGAAAGATAACATCAGAGAAACTCTACAACAGCATGATGTATCTATGATTGAGGCAGCAAGAACAGCAAGGATCAAAACCTCATATCTCCCTCGGCACTGACAGCAGTAAAACAGAAAGATACAGACTAGAGAATGAAAGAAGATTCAGCAACAACACAACAATAAATCACTTTACCTGAAACACAAAAATGGTTTCATTCAATAGGAATAAACTCAGAGGGAGCAAGTACAGCAGGGATCTACCAGTCGTCAGTAGAAATTATCCTCGTCAACGAGCGTTTTGGCCCACGATTCCTAGATGCTTTCGGAGGTGGGCCCACCTGAGTTCATGAAGCTCAGGGCTGGTTCCCTGCCGCACGAGATTACCGGATGGTGTTTTTCTTATGCATCTTTTTCTGTTTATGTCCAACTAGACAGAAAATGCAGACAACAGAGTCTGGCTGCTGTGGAAGCAGAAGTTCAAGCCTTGATTTTCGAGAACGCTCTAGAGGGTGATGCTGTCATTTACACTGATGGGTCTGACATCCGCCATGTTAGAAACTTGTGGGCTCAGTTTAGAGGAAGAGTTGTGAAGGAAGATTCTGGAGTGTTTGCAGTAACTATAAGTAGTCTGACTATGGAGGTCATGGCTGTGACTAAAACAGTAACATGGCTAGAGACACAGACTTTTACTGGAGCTCGCTTTCTCAGTGACTCGATGAGTATGCTCAGGAAGATAGAGAAGGGCTGGGTGCGAAGCCAGTGGTTGGTGGCTCTACAGAATTCACCGCTGACAAGGATTAGTTTCATTTTCGTGCCAGGACATGTGGGGATACAAGGAAATAAGCAAGCTGATACGCAGGTAAAGGCTACTGTGAAAGCCGGACAAGCCATGGACCAGATTGATATACTGAATGCTCTAAGAGTGTTAAGACGTTTGCGTTAACCAAGTGAGAACTGTGAATCTGCAACCATGGTTAGACTGCAAGAACAACATGTTAAACGGGCTGTCGCCAAACAAGAACACTACGCGGGTAGTCAAAGAATAATAATAAACCAACAAAGAACTGGTGTCGTAAGCCAATACACGCTGCAGGATTTAGTGAAGAGGGGATCCGATCACTTCTGGACTGAGTGGTTCGACATGCAATGAGGATAATCTGTTGACTAACTAACTAACTAAAACCTACACTCAGCTTAACAAATGTTTACAACCATGACATGTTTACATAAAACTGGATGAAAACAGCCGATAGCAACAGCTTTAGCAAATGCAAGCAACCGTCTTCAATGTAAATAAAACAAGAGAATATTTGTCTCAGCAATCTGCTGTGCATAATCTCTGGAAATCTTCTGCAGTTGTTGATGTTTTCCATGTATGCATTGCTAAGGCAACTTCAGCTTTTAAAAGCTTCAACAAAATATGGAACTCTAAATTATATAGTTTTAAAAGTTAGTAATTTTTAGTTGTAATGTTATTTCCATTTTCACATACGCCTATGACAGTTTGAGAACAACTAAAGACATAGAACAAAGTTAAATGCATTCAAAAATAAGTGCAGAAGGAAAATGAGCACTAAGAGAAATACCATAGGGCTATTTATCTTATAATCAGTGACTAAGACTGTATATACTCACTGATATTTCTTCAGTTGAGATTCTTTTGTCTTGATATCCAGCTTCACCTTATTCCTCTCCTCTTCTGCCATGTCTTTCTTGGACTCCAGCAGACGCCGGTCTTCCTCTATCTTGGCCTGGATCTCCGCCATCTTCTCCTTGGAGATATGTCTCCTGGCTGTTGATAAACAAAGTACTCATTCTTGGCATCAACCCTTTCACCTCCAGAAGACATAAATCTGGCAGTGTCTGCAATTTCGTAAATGCCGATTACCTGGCTAATAAGGAAGGGGAATGCCCCAGGTGCTGTGACCTTAATTCTTGATATTCATTTGTTCATTAATAAGTGCTGGAAGCATGGATTCATCATATTCATTTGTTCATTAATAAGTGCTGGAAGCATGGATTCATCATATTCATTTGTTCATTAATAAGTGCTGGAAGCATGGATTCATCATATTCATTTGTTCATTAATAAGTGCTGGAAGCATGGATTCATCATATTCATTTGTTCATTAATAAGTGCTGGAAGCATGGATTCATCATATTCATTTGTTCATTAATAAGTGCTGGAAGCATGGATTCATCATATTCATTTGTTCATTAATAAGTGCTGGAAGCATGGATTCATCATATTCATTTGTTCATTAATAAGTGCTGGAAGCATGGATTCATCATATTCATTTGTTCATTAATAAGTGCTGGAAGCATGGATTCATCATATTCATTTGTTCATTAATAAGTGCTGGAAGCATGGATTCATCATATTCATTAATCTGATTTGCTTGCTCTTCTACACCAAGACTGAGCTGCTACTTCAGTTGAGTCTCCACCAATGTAAATGCCCCAGGAAAAGTACTTCATACAATGCTTCAGCCTCTTCATATTGATTACTCTCTTTATATATGTTACTCTCTTTATATATGTTACTCTCTTTATGTATGTTACTCTCTTTATATTCTTACTCTCTTTATATATCTTACTCTCTTTATATATCTTACTCTCTTTATATATCTTACTCTCTTTATATATCTTACTCTGTTTATATATCTTACTCTCTTTATATATCTGTATATATTTTGAAAATGTAGATAAATATTTTTTTTTTTAATTTATTAGTGACCTGTGTAAAATGGTTTAGTCTTGATGAATTTTTTCCAAACTATTTTGGTACTAGCAATGAATGTCCTTAAACCTTTTGGTACTATCAATGAATTTCCTTAAACCTTTTTGTACTAGCAATGAATTTCCTTAAACCTTTTGCCCCAGAAACCATTGGGAGAAAAAAAAATATGATCCTGGCAATTCCCAGGGAAAAAATCATTTAAAAAACAACACTTCACATCGGTCACTTAGAAATCTTTACAAAATGTAAACGAGTGTAAACCTCCTGGCTACATCACTACTAACTGAAGGTAAATGATGACGGCATAATGGCTTTACAGAGGCATTTTTTTAAAACAATAAATTTAGAATTAGTAGCCTAGTCATTCATTCAGTAGCATGTCCCTCGCGGAACCTCGCTGCCATAACAACCCTCCGGAAAACCTTCCTATCCTGAGCAAGATGTCCTGCGCCTGATACACCCATCTGGAGATCATCTGCCACATCCTGCACCCATCTTCTCCTTGGCCTTCCTCTTCCTCTCTTCCCAGGCATATACCCCTCCATTATTGTTCTCTCTAGACTTCCATGACGTTTCAAGTGACCAAAATATTTCAATTTTCTTTGTTTTATTGTCTTTACTAGCCAACCCTCTTCAATATTCAGCTCTTGAAGTATGGATGCATTTGTTCTTTTCTTTACCCAAGATATTCTTAGAACCTCTCTGTAACATTTATATTCAAATGCATTTATGCGCTGTTCCGCTTGTTTAGTAAGTGTCCAGGTCTCACAGGCGTATGTTGCAATGGGAAAGATGCATGCTCTTAAAAATCTGACCTCTGTAGTTCTATCTGTACAATTCCATAATTTATTCAGTTGTTTTAGTCTTTGAAGAGCAATTGATAGTCGCCGTTTAATTTCTTTCATTGTGTCACCATTGCCTAGTACCTGGCCATATACAAAACATCCATTCCAAAAAGATTTCTTCATAACAGAATATTTTTGTGGGATAATCTAAGATTATAATTCATCGCTACACCTCTGACCAGACGCACTCATCTACTGAAGCTCTTTTACATATTCCTAAATATGAATGTTCAAGCTGGTTATTTGCACCAATCATGTTCTGCTATTTTATGAGCACAAGAGCCAGATTATATAGTAATTTTACACAAGCCTTGTGTGTCAGTAAAAATTGCTCAGTAGGCCAGTCTTGACCAACAGATCCTAGTTTGGTGTTAATCTTTCTGGCTCCAATCAAAGCGGAGACAAAAGGTGTATTTCAAATAAACAATATCTCTTGTATGAACTGATTCAAGAACCGACGTTGCAGCACTCAGAGGATTCCCATAATTGCTTAGTCAACATCTTCAGCAGCCAGTGCAGAGTTCCAATACCAAGGTGCCAGCAGCAGTCTGATTATGTGTAAATCTTACCTTTCCTCTAAGCGTCGAGTATCGGCCAAATCCATTCATCATTCCTTGCTGCATCACTCTCACCAGACTGCGGTAATAGATTTGCTATTCCAAACTGTACGCATGTTTCCATAAGGCCTTAATCATGCATCAGTATTATACCAAGTTGCACAGAGCTAGCCAATCTGTTAGCCTGTTCATTTCCCAACCCACCAGTATAACCTGTGACCTCCGAAGCAAAGCATGTCACGAAGGAAGGCTGTCCTCACCTTTCTGAGTCAGTTTCAATCACAATGTTTCTGTAAACCATGTTCTCTAGACAGCCTGTACGTCACGTCAGTATTTCTACATATCAAACTATGTCAGCTTGTCTTCTGTGTATTCACTGGCTGTAAACCCTTGTGGAACAATTGTGATGTTCATCCACTTTTGGAACCTGGTCTAGTTATAAAACTTGAGCTTGGTGCATATCCAGTTTACAGACCTGACTTATTTGTGGGGGAGGGAGGCAGTGGTCTATCCTCCCCCCCCCCCCCCCCCAAGGCCCCAGAAGCCACACGGGGACTCTGTCAGTATGAAGCATGGTTTTCAATAAACTAAAAAAGAAGTGGAATGGGTATATATAGAGCACATTTTTACACCAATGGATTTATCTCTACAGTCTGGATACATTTCTACACCAATGGATACATCTCTAAAGTCTGGATACATTTCTACATCAATGGATATATCTCTACAGTCTGGATACATTTCTACACCAATGGATATATCTCTAGTCTGGATACATTTCTACACCAATGGATATATCTCTACAGTCTGGACACATTTCTACATCAATGGATATATCTCTACAGTCTGGATACATTTCTACACCAATGGTTTTATATCTCTACAGTCTGGATATATTTCTACATCAATGGATATATATCTCTACAGTCTGGATATATTTCTACTACATATCTCTACAATGGATATAGTTCCTCATCAATATTTATCTCTACAGTCTGGATATATTTCTACATCAATGGATATATATCTCTACAGTCTGGATACATTTCTACATCAATGGATATATCTCTACAGTCTGGATACATTTCCTCATCAATGGATTTATCTCTACAGCCTGGATACATTTCTACATCAATGGATATATCTCTACAGTCTGGATACATTTCTACACCAATGGATATATCTCTACAGTATGGATACATTTCTACATCAATGGATATATCTCTACAGTCTGGATACATTTCTACATCAATGGATATATCTCTACAGTCTGGATACATTTCTACATCAATGGATATATCTCTACAGTCTGGATACATTTCTACACTAATGGATATATCTCTACATCAATGGATATATCTCTACAGTCTGGATACATTTCTACACTAATGGATATATCTCTACAGTCTGGATACATTTCTACATCAATCTCTACAGTCTGGACACATTTCTACACTAATAGATATATCTCTACATCAATGGATATATCTCTACAGTCTGGACACATTTCTACACCACTAGATATATCTCTGCAGTCTGGATACATTTCTACACCAATGGATATATCTCTACAGACTGGATACATTTCTACAGTCATGGATACATTTCTACATTTCTACACCAATGGATATATCTCTACATCAATGGATATATCTCTACAGTCTGGATACATTTCTACACTAATGGATATATCTCTACAGTCTGGATACATTTCTACATCAATGGATATATCTCTACAGTCTGGACACATTTCTACACTAATGGATATATCTCTACATCAATGGATATATCTCTACAGTCTGGACACATTTCTACACCACTAGATATATCTCTGCAGTCTGGATACATTTCTACACCAATGGATATATCTCTACAGACTGGATACATTTCTACACCATTGGATATTTCTCTACAGTCTGGATACATTTCTACACCAATGGATATATCTCTACAGTCTGGATACATTTCTACACCAATGGATATATCTCTACAGTCTGGACACATTTCTACATCAATGGATATATCTCTACAGTCTGGATACATTTCTACACCAATGGTTTTATATCTCTACAGTCTGGATATATTTCTACATCAATGGATATATATCTCTACAGTCTGGATACATTTCTACATCAATGGATATATCTCTACAGTCTGGATACATTTCTACATCAATGGATTTATCTCTACAGCCTGGATACATTTCTACATCAATGGATATATCTCTACAGTCTGGATACATTTCTACATCAATGGATATATCTCTACAGTCTGGATACATTTCTACATCAATGGATATATCTCTACAGACTGGATACATTTCTACACCAATGGATATATCTCTACAGTATGGATACATTTCTACATCAATGGATATATCTTTACAGTCTGGACACATTTCTACACTAATGGATATATCTCTACAGTCTGGATATATTTCTACATCAATGGATATATCTCTACAGTCTGGACACATTTCTACACCACTAGATATATCTCTGCAGTCTGGATACATTTCTACACCAATGGATATATCTCTACAGACTGGATACATTTCTACACCATTGGATATTTCTCTACAGTCTGGATACATTTCTACATCAATGGATATATCTCTACAGTCTGGATACATTTCTACACCAATGGATATATCTTTACAGTCTGGATACATTTCTACATCAATGGATATATCTCTACAGCCTGGATACATTTCTACATCAATGGATATATCTCTACAGTCTGGATACATTTCTACATCAATGGATATATCTCTACAGTCTGGATACATTTCTACATCAATGGATATATCTCTACAGTCTGGATACATTTCTACATCAATGGATATATCTCTACAGTCTGGATACATTTCTACACCAATGGATATATCTCTACAGTCTGGATACATTTCTACATCAATGGATATATCTCTACAGACTGGATACATTTCTACACTAATGGATATATCTCTACAGTCTGGATATATTTCTACATCAATGGATATATCTCTACAGTCTGGACACATTTCTACACCACTGGATATATCTCTGCAGTCTGGATACACTTCTACACCAATGGATATATCTCTACAGACTGGATACATTTCTACACCATTGGATATTTCTCTACAGTCTGGATACATTTCTACATCAATGGATATATCTCTACAGTCTGGATACATTTCTACACCAATGGATATATCTCTACAGTCTGGACACATTTCTACATCAATGGATATATCTCTACAGTCTGGATACATTTCTACATCAATGGATATATCTCTAGACTGGATACATTTCTACATCAATGGATACATCTCTACAGTCTGGATACATTTCTACATCAATGGATTTATCTCTACAGTCTGGATATATTTCTAAAATCTCAGTTATATTTCTATACCAATGTATATTTCTCTACAATCTTGACAAATATCTGCAATATCTGAGAACATTTCTACATCTACGAATATATCTCTACAGTCTGTTCTAATATCTTTAGGTATATTTCAATAATATGAGGGCATATTTCTACAATATCTTGACATATTTCTATAATCTGGACATATTTTTACAAATTCTTGTTTTTTTCCCCCCTCTAATCTCTGGGTGTGTTTCAACAATCTGTGGACACACGTCTACAGTCTGGACATTTTTCTACACTCTCTGGATATATTTCTACAATCTATGGAGCAAGTTCTACAGTCTGGAGATATTTCTACAATTTATGGGAATATTTCTAAAATCTATTGATATATAAAATTGTTTTGAAGAAATAATGTGTGCATGCAGCTTGGATTTCAACATACATATGTTGACATACAACACTGATTTCCCATCTTGTGGATGTAAAGGATGGATGTGAAAAAAACACAGTGCGGATATATACCATGGATGCAAACAAAATATGGATATAAACCTGGATGTGAACAATACCATATGTACCACGGATGAATATGGCATATGCTTCACTTGGAGATGAAAGGCAGAAAGTCTGTGCACTTGTGAACATTTTCAAGTCAAACTTTAAAATGGGAATTACCTAACTTGTGAACATTCACAATTCAAACTATGAACCATGAAATATCTGAATAAACATTTCCAATTCAAACTATGAAATGCAAATAACCCAAGTGAATACTGACAATTCAAACTATGAAACTTAAATAACCCAACTTGTGAAAATTCACTGCTCAAAATATGAATATTCACTATTCAATATGAAATGGGAATCACTTAGTTTGTGAACATTCACAATTCAAACTATGAAACGGGAATTACCGCGCACACAAACACAAGGGGTAAAGTAAACACAAGGACAAATACTCACCATCTGCAGTGAAAATGTAAAAGAATCACAAGAGACAATTTAGTGAAACAAATCAAATTATAAAACTAAGTTTAAAAAAAAAAGAAAACTTCTTTCAGTACCAGATGTTTTTTTAAAACTTTTTCTTTGCAAAGCAGTTACTGCCACATGATCAGTCAGGGTTCTAACTTCAGTGCAAACAGGTCCCTTCATTATGGTATATTTTTGTGCCAGTGAACACCACACTAAAAGCCCAGCGATGTGCCATATGATGTCAAATAGACAGCAGTGCCGACAAAATCCACGTGCCCGCACACACAACAAATGCATAAGGCAGCAGAGGATACAAAATCTTCAGCCTGTCACTAGAATTGCTATTCAGAGTTAATGGAAGCAGAAGTGAACAATCAACAGCAGTTGCACATGCATCACCAGTTCTATGGCAACCAACACCCTCACCATTTTCTGAGCATACAGTTTACAACACAAGTTTCCAGAAGCAAAGTGCTGCACGGCACATTCAACTCAGAAGCTGGCCAACAGAACTGGATTCTACCCTGACCTCATTTGTTGTCCCATCCAGTTTCCCCACTGGGGGTTGAAACCCAAACCTCCCACCAGATTACTCCGGGACTGAGCCTCGAGAGGCAGGGGGTAAGAAGTGTTGGTGTTGTGGGTAGTGGGTTCCCCCCCTTACTTCACCCTAGGTCTAGTGAATATCTGTTCACGAAAGGAGCGTCCATTGTGGTGTTAGCCTCTTGACCTAGCAAAACCTCTCTTACCTCAAGACCATTGTGCGTGGCGAAGAGTCACAGCCTCCCCGAGGTAGTCCCGGTAACTGGGGGTGCGAATCCCCAGGCAAAACACAATGGATCTAGAGGAGCAAACCTCGATAATAAACCCGGTGCACCACACCGTACTGCCCCCTGTGGGAGGGAAGGAGCCAGAGGTGTGCTGAACAGTCTTAGGAATGGAAACAAGTATGCTAACCCCCCTGAATACCGGAAACTATCGTGAAGGCACAGGGACTCAGGACGTGACGATCCAGTTGCCCCAACTACTCATGCTTAGGCCATGCTTAGAGACATGAAGAGCTCAGCGAAACCTGCAGGCAATCTGGTGGCGGGGAATGAGCACACTGTGAGCCCCACCTTAGCTACGTGTTAAAGGGAAAGGCAGAAACACAACCCATATTTCCTTTAGAACTGGTACAGGGCATTTCTAGCTGCTGCCCGGGGAGGTAGGTAATCCACAGACACCCCAGCACCACAATTCCCTCCGAGACCAGACAAGTGGAACACCTTGTACGGAGGAAAAGAACAGCTTGTGAAAACATGCAAATTCCACTACATGGCATTGGGCCAAAGGGCGAAAGCTCATGCGCCGCTGGATCGATAACAACAACAACAACAACAACAACAACAAACCCAAACCTCCCACCAGATTACAGGGTCCACCACACGAAGGTGAGGCAGGCTTCAAAAAGAGAGGCTTAGAGACACGAGTCTTGTATTGTGAAACACTGTCCACTTAGTGTCTTCAGCAGTTACTGCATAATAACAGTTTGGCTCTGACGGGATTTACATGATAAAACCATCAGACAAAAGGAAATGAGATACCAAGAGAGGTAGAATGGGCTCATGTAACAGCTGCACTGGGTATGAGAAGCTCATTTAAGAATCCAATACCAGAGAATTTAAACCCATTGGGTAATGTCAGAGGCGATCTGTGTAACAGACTAGCTGGTTCTGCACCACATGGTGGTACATTTATACACAACAAGCTAGATATGATGAAGGCCCTTTGAAAAGGTTAAAGTCCAGAAGATCGACTTCATTGCACGCATAAGGCTCTTTCCACACAATGGCCAGTGACCTGCTAAGAGCATCGCACACAGCAGAAACTCCCCTAGCGCTGGCGACAATCCCCAGGGATCTCCGTAAAAACTCCACATGTGAACTGAATGGTGTATCCGTGAAATAAACTCACAATTTTCAGAGTGTGAGGCAAAAGACTTGACCACTTTGCCACATAGACTCCCTAAGGCCCTTTGAAAGAAGGTGAACAATGCAGAAGCACAACAACATCATTACAGTCCAGAGAGAACGGTACAATAGAAAGTGACCATGGGATGTGGTTGACACTACGCTCTCAGAGGAAAAGCATGACAGACACAAATTCAGATACCTCTAGTAGGGTCAGAATCTTAACTCTTGGCTGGTTACGGGAATGTCCCGAGTGCTGTGATGTCAGATATAAACTCCTTCAGCTACAGAGCTTCCTAAGATAAACCTCACCTTTCTTCTTCTTAACGATTCTTTTTTCTCCATTTTCATCGATAATTTCTTCCTCGGAGCCAGAATCATCCTCACTGCCTTCATCATCAGAAACACCTGCAGACAACAGAAGCAGATAGTCTTACATTTTACAGCATCAAATATACACACACCAGTGAGTTAGTGACCTTCAACCCACCAGCACCACACACCCAGCAGTAAACAACCATTCAGATGAGAAACACCCAGGAGCAAGTACCAGAAACCTTGTTCAACCCATATAGGTTAAATTTAGGCGCCCCCCCCCCCCCCCCCCATCCCTCCCATGACAGCCAGTGTGGGGCTTTAAAAAAAAAAAATTGCGTCCCAAATAGGGACGGAGGTTCATTTGTATCAAATCTCATAAACTGCATGAAAGAATGAATTTCTACCCCACCAGGACATCACACAAGCGATAAACACCCGATGACACAAAGTGCCACCATGTGGGTGAGGATCACAGTGGAGAGGTCCCAGAAACCGCGTTCAGACAATTGGCCATATTTATGGCCTGCCTATATTGCGGCCCCTGGCAAAAGCCAGAGTGGGGCTTCAAATTACAAAAAATTACGTCCTAAAAAGGACGTAAGCATTCTAGCGACTAATTATAATTCGATATCTAAACATCTGTATATGTCTGATGTGTCAAATGTGACAAGCATATTTTTCTTACATACTTATGTCATCATAAAATATTCTTCTTTCCAATTCTTCACTGCAAACTCCTGCAGAAAGCCTTAGTTGTTCACCCACTTCTGGACTAATTATCTTGTCATCCCTTCATGAGATGCAATTTTTTCCTAATTTGAACCCCTACTCTGGCTCTTGCCAGAGGCCGCAATATAGCCCGGCCATAAATATGGTCTAATGGCTGAACGCGGTTTCTGGGACCTCTCTACGGGTGATCCTCATTCACATGGTGGCACTTTGTGTCATCGGGTGTTTATCGCTTGTGCAATGTCCTGGTGGGGTCAAATAAGACAGGCAGACTTCTGGACTTTGGTCTTGTTCCAGGATTTGCTTGCATATTTATTTTAAAGACCTGACTTATGCATGTGCAGACTGTTGATTACCTGCCTCTCTGGCAGATGGTCTCCCACTTCAAAGAAAATGAACCTTGTGACTGGAAGTATCAAGACCACAAGAAGAAGACTACTACTCACCCCCATCTTCTAGCTGCCTCCGGAGTTCCTCAATCTCCTTCTGGAACTGCCTCAGGAGGGCGTCCTTAGGATCTTCATTGATCTTGGCATTGTTCTTGATGTTCTTGGCTCTGTTAGCATATCTCAGCGTGCTGATGGATTCATCGTAGTTGTAATCTGCAGGGCCAATGTTGGCAATCTAATAGAGAACGTACAAAACACAACTATTAATTGTTACCTTTGACTAAACTGCCTCAGAATCCCTTAGGGAAGAAGAAAGATCATAAAACTGAGAATTCAACATGCATATACATGCAAAACTTAAAAAATAACAATTTTATACAGGTCACAAATGCATTTATTTATGTAAATTCAAAATGTTTTGGTAAAAAATGTATGAAGGGAAGTAATCAGTGAAAATGAATGAAGTGGAGAAATAACTAGAATACATCCCCTTGAGCATAGAAAAAAATTAAATAGTGACTCATACCACGACCCCATCGCTAAAGGCTTGAGGTGCTGAAGGATAACTGCCAGTTTAACATCTTTGTGGGGATGTGACACTCCTCCATGCCATGACAAAAGGCTGCCAAAAATCTTCTCGCGTTGTCTTCACCTGTCTCTTTTTTCACAAATCTTTCCAGTGGTCACAACCACCTTCTCTCTTCTAAGTGACCGCATAATGAAGGATAAATTGAGGAGTAGATACAAGCTCTTAAGAACTGAACGGCTCAATATGCAATGATGATCATGACCTGCTGAATCACTAACTAACATGTGTAGGCTTCTCAGACAATCACATTTACCAATGCATACACACACACACACACACACAGAAATACCACTCAGGTACCCACACATTAAAAAAACAGGCACACACACACCATTTTCAGTTGAGCTGGGTTGATTCAAGAACCGACATAACAGCACAGGTCTTTCCCATAAGTGCTCTGTCTCTATATTCAGCAGCCAGCGCAGAGCTCTTCACACCATCTTCAGAGTTAATACATGCGTACCCACCACTCACCATGACTGTTTTAGAATTGCCACCCAGAGAATCCTGCAGCAGACGTGTCAGCTTGGAGTTTCTGTACGGAATGTGGGTGCTCTTGCCGTCCACCAGGGAGGAAATGACGTTACCCAGGGTGGACAGCGACAGGTTGATCTTTGTAGCTTCTTTCAACCTTTGACCTGTAGCTCCAGTCTTGGATTGACGTTCTGACCCCTGTTGGAGATTTGTATTTCTATTAAATTAGTGGAATGCCCGATTTGTAATACTACAAAGACATTTGTGTACATCATTTTTGGCCATGTTATGAGAAAAGACAGGCCATTAAACAACTGGACACAGAAGTTGGCTGAAAAGACATGCCACAAATATGCAAACGCCAGATTCAGTACATGTGACTGACAGAGAAAGAATCTTGTCTGACAGTCAACAGTAACTGGTGACACATCTATTTAATGGGCTCTAATTCGCCTAGAGGACGCAACATCAAACACAGATTTATTTAAAATTTTTGAGTTATGGTCTTTGTCCCTCACAGCATCTTCTGGCTAGTATTTATTTCTGGTGCGCACAGACGTGTTAGAGATTCACCTAGACAGACAGATAGACTTGTGACTTTTTTCAGAGATCTATCTATCTATCTATTGTCCTCTTCACTTTTACCGGGTTGCCGCCCAGTGTCGTGGTTTAAAATATTTGTTTTGTGCCTCTCGGGTGAATTGAGTGACAGTTTTCTGGATCTTCTGGCCGTATTCAGCTACTCCATCTATCCATTTTTTCCTGGGTCTTCCTCTGGCCTTTCTTCCCGATGTTCTACTGTAAAAGGCCTTATAGGCAATCTGATCCGGTTGCATTCTTACTAAATGGCCAAACCACTTCATTTTCTGTCTTTCAATATGTTCCATGCATGCTCTTGTTCCAACTTTGTCTCTAATGCTGACGTTTGTGACTCTGTCTCTTCATGTATTGTTGGTGACTCTTCGGAGACATCACATTTCACACCTAGTTATTTTTTGCATATGTGATTTGTTCATTGTCCACGTTTGGCACTGATAACATAACATAGGGATGAAAATGCTGTTGATCATCCGTTGTTTGGCTGGTAACGAGATCTTTGGATCTTTTTGAACTCTAGCCTGTATCTCTTTATCGAGTCTTCCATCTTCTGTAAATATGCATCCTAAGTACTTGAATTCTTGAACTTGTTCTAATTGTATGTCATTGATCTTTATGTTTACATTACTGTGTTTCTTTCCTATGGTCATTACTTCAGTTTTTGAGGTGTTTATTTTCATGTCAAATTTTGTACAGTTAGTGAGCAATGAATCATCATGTTGTTGTAGTTTTTGTTCTTCTTCATGTAAAAAACATTGGTCATCTGCAAAGAGTAGTTCATTTATAATTTTTGTTTTGGTTTGACTCCTGTGCAATTTTATCCATATATGTGATGAAGAGTAGGGGTGATAGGACACATCCTTGTCGAACTCCTGATGTAATGGGGAACCAGTCTGTCATACCTTCCATTGTTCTTACAGCGCTCTGGCTATTTTGATAAAGAGCCATTATGTTTCCCAATAATTGACCCGGTACACCATAATCTTCAAGAATGTTCCATAGTTTATTTCTGTTAACCCTGTCAAAAGCCTTCTCTTGATCAATGAATATAGATTCTGGTGTTTATTATATTCGATTGTCTGTTCACAAGTTTGCCGAAGAGTAATTATTGCATCAGTGCAGCTCTTTCCTTTTCTAAATCCAAACTGATTGTGACTTAATTGAGGTTCTAATATCACCCTCGCTCTTCGTTCTAATATTTTTGCAAACATCTTTCCTACATGGCTTTGTAAAGAGATACCTCTGTATGTTTCACAATCTCGTTTATCACCTTTCTTCTTCCATATGGGAACTATAATTGCTCTCTGCCAGTCAACGGGAACTTTCATTTCCTCCCAGGCCATTTTGAATATTCTTGTCAGCCATTTTACTGCTGTTGCCTTACATGCAAGTATTATGTCTATTGTAATACCATCTGTTCCGGCCGCTTTGTTTCTTTTGCTTTGCTCTAAGATCTTTTCAACTTCAGATTCTAATATATTAGGTTCTTGTTCTTGTCCAAATTTTATTTTATTAGACACTGGTAATTGTGGTCCACTATTCAGTAATTCAGAAAAATATTCTTGCCATCTTCTTTTAACATCTTGGGATTTGGTGAGTGGTTTTTTAGCCTTGCTGTTTATGATCTTTGATGGGTTAAATTTCTCTTCTCTCAGTCTCATAGCCTTGATGCTTCGGTAGAACTGACCTGGTGAATCAGTGCATAGCCTTGCTAATTGTTCTCCGTAGTTTGCCCATGATTCTGATTTCGCCGAATTTACTTTTCTCTTGCTCTTGCTTTTCTGTATTTGATGTAGTCCTCATCTAATTTGGACTTTTGCCACTGGTGAAAATATTTCTTCTTTTCTTTGATAGAAATTTTAACTTCTTCATTCCACCATGCTGTTTGTTTCATGTGTCTTCTTGGCTTTCGGAGTCTGCACTTTTCTGTCATTACATTCAGGATGCAGGTTTGAAAAATTTGCCACTCTTCTTCTATGTCATTTCCTCTCTCTAGAGTACTGAAGGTGTTTTTAACTGTTTCCTCAACTTGAATTGCCACATCTTTGTCTTTTAGTTTCTCTATGGCTATCTGATCCATTAGCTGTGGTGTTTTATCAATGCAAATTCTTGTTGGTTTATAGAGCCAAAGTACTACAGGTGTATGGTCAGAGTCTATTATTGCATTTGGGATGCATTTGGGATGGCCCTCGAGTTCTTTATTCTCCATCTGTCGCTCTTTTTTCTGAGAATAAAATCTATCTGTGATGCTTGGTTAATATTATTCCATTTATACCAGGTCAATACCTTGCTTCTCTTATGTTGGTATAGCGTGTTGCTGATAATTAGTTCATGCTCTGCACATACATTGAGTAATTGTTCTCCATTGTTGTTACATTTATTTTCTTTCCCACTAAATGGTCCCATATATGTAGACCATGGAGGTCGACGTTCTCCCACATGTCCGTTGAAATCTCCCATCACATACAAGCCATCAGTGTCTGTAACTTTACTGATGGTTTCACTAAGTTGGTCAACAAATTCTGTTCTTTCTTCTTCAGTGTAAGTGTCGTTACAAGGAGCATATTCTTGAATATACGATACTCTTCTTTTACCTGCAGCCAGTCTGATACTTATTATTCTCTCTGACACAGAGATACTTTGGTTAAATGATTTTGTTTATACTTGTTTGTATTTGCAGTATTGAACATTCACTGACAAAAGTTTTCTAGCCATAACGTTCATGATAATGTGAAAAACTGACTGACTGGGTCTACTATTTACCTGGTTTGATATCATTTCGTGATGAGAGTAATGGTTGACCCATGACTCATGGTGTTATCGGCTATGATGATGAAAACTCAACTTTTTAAAAATCAATCAGCAGTCAATGGGTGATGAGGGTGCCTTGTTCAAACCCACGCCCTCTGGGCCAACAGGAAAGGATCTAGCCACTACACTACCATGGCTGCCCAGGTGGTTTATTTTTGTAATTATTTTATTTTGGTCAACTTTACTTCCTTGACCCTGTGACTTTTGGTGAAATGACATTCTAATTTTATTGGTCTCAGGTTTTCTCAGCGTGTGTCCTATTCAATGCCAGCATTTTTCTCATGTCTTAATTCATGTGAATTAGCAAAGTTCTCCCCAAAAGCTTCCCATTAGTGGTTCTATTATGCGATTTAGTTCCCTCTTCTCTGCTTAGGTAACAATTAATAAATCTGTGTCATTTTATTATCAATGACCTACTTACAGCCAGATCCACCAGATGCAGCTTCCCAACCTTGACGTGTTGTTTGCCGTCCAGCCCCTTCTCACTGCACTCAATTGTAACTGTGAATATAGCGTGAGACCTGGAACTGTGCAGGTTCATGTTTGTAGCACCGACAGATCCTGACGAGTATATAAAAAGTGGTCACCAATTTACATTCATAAGTACAGTTTTACATATATCTGAAACAATGTTTTCCCACTGTAAATGTAAATGATCTGAACACAAGCAAAGAATTTAACATTTTATTAACTAACATACTTGGCTGTGTCTTATCAGGTGTATAACTAGTTACATATAATTAAGCATAAAAATGAATCTTATTAACTTAAATATACGGTTCAGTGTCTCTAGTTATACATCATTGGAAAATTCAAGCCCACAACGATTTCTAATTTTCCATCTGCTCTTTTTGTTTGCACACAACAGGATTGTTCGCTTTTAATTGTCAAGGTTTCTGCCAGTTTCAGTAAATGCTTATTCAGTATTCTCCAGCAAGTGGATAAATGGAATTAGAGTTGGTGTATAGATGTGATGTAACTGCAGCAACACACCGGATGAGATAAGTGAAATATTTCACGCACAAAATTGTGCAAAGTATCCTTTGTGTATACATACAATACCACACTTGAGAAATCAAGTCTACCTACTGTTTTTATTGCCGAGAGTCATAATTCGGTCCATATCATCAGCATTATTGACAACAAAAGCTGAGAGGTCCTTCACATAGACACCAACATCTGGTCTTTCTTTCACCTGCAAGACAAGCATCTCATTATAACATTCTTGGGTTCTTAATTTATAACATACCCCAAACACGAAATCCCCGTGGGAAATCCACAGCTGACCTGACAGTCCATTTGTCAAGGGGTGGAAGTGTGCTGTTGTGTGGTGTTTTTTTTAAGTGTTAATCTAGTGTCTTCTAATGCTAACCCTAACCCTAAACTTGGCTGTAGATAAATCGCGAGCAACTACAACCTGAACACCCTAGAATTTATTGGGAATGTCTCCCGTGACGTTGTCGTGACGTCAGGGGTGAGTTATAAATTAAGTACCCATTCTTGTTTATGGCTATTCTACATTAAGATGTCTGTTCTTCTTCTACTCAGTGCTAGGCAATGAAATATCTATGTAAACTACAATCTGGTTCAGTATGTTTTTTTCTCTCTCTTCATCACATTGATCAGCTGTGTACTCTGGTGGAAAGTGCTGGTTGTTTGTCCACTTCTAGACTTTAGTCTTGCTCCAGAACTGCTTGCACATTTGTATGAAGACTACTGGTACTTCACCTCTCAGACAGATGCAGTCCAACTTGAAGGAAATACATCTAACTATTCAACTTTGATGACATGCTAGTTAGGGGACAACATCACAGCCAAAAACAATGAGAGGGTATAAGAGCAGCAACAACAAAAAACAAAAACTAGTGAAAGGGTATTAAAACAACAAAGAAAAAGTGAGAGAGTATGAGAGCATACCAAAAAACAGTGATAGGGTATCTTCTTCTTCTTCTTGTCCACCTGCTGCAAATTCCGGCAGAAAGTCCTGGTTGTTCGTCCATTTGGACTTTTGGCTTTTACTAGGACCTGAGTTTTGCGTGTACGTCCGCTTTACTAGCTTATTTGTGTGCAGTTCTCATTCCCTGCCTCTCGGGCAGATGTACTTCAACTTCAAGGGATAATAGGGTACGAGAGCAAAAAAACCAAAACAATGATAGGATATGAGAGCAAACAAAAAACAAAAACAGAGTATGACGAAAACAAAGTGAGAAAGACCAACACAGACAAACAGACAAGAAGAAGAAAAGTGTGACCTCTAATCTCTGGTGCTGATCCTTGCCCAGCAGATCTCGGACTTCCTCGTTATAAATCTCCAGGTAGGACACTCGCACTAAGAACCTGTCAGGTGGAAAGAAAGGACAACAGTTCATTTCAGCTCCGTTGCTATAACAAAGTGAACACTCCCTGTGTGGGTTCCGGGACCCCACTTGGGGGAGAACAAGAACAGACCCAGTGCCCCCTAACAAGCATGTCATAAAGAGCAGCTAATTAGGTGTCTCTTTCGAAAACAGTGTGCACTCTGCCTGAGAGAGGATAAACCAACAGTCTACATACCAATAAGCCAGATCTGAAAAACAGATATGCACATAAAACTTAAGTTTTGAAACAAGACCTAAGTCCAAAAGTAGACAAACAACCAGAACTTTCCACCTGAGTTTTCAGTGAATGCTAAGAAGAAGAAGACGAAACAAACACATATAATGGTACTACATTCTTTTTCTTCTTCTTAAGTGATCTATGGTCATGCACTTAATTCACGGTGGGCCATAAACTGGGATGTCAGCTCGAGGTCTCTCAGGTCTCCACAAAGCTTAGTTGTTATGTCTTCTGGGTGTGGCCACATGTTGCTTCACAGCGTGTCAAAGAGAGGACAGTCTTGCAAGACATGTTCTGGAGTCTATTCAGCACAAAGACACTGGCAGAGAGCTGTTTGGCTCATACTTAATTTATAAGAGCATTTGTGAATTCTGCAGTGTCCAGTGCATAAGTGAAACAAATAGTGACTCGGTGAGTTCTTTTCAGATGGTGCTGCCAACTTGGACCTTATCAAGCTGAGCAATATCTGCTATATGCAATCGCAACTTGGTTACATCCTGATACAAAGTTCCAGACACATCCCACTGGTGTCTGGACTTAAAGAAGGGAAGAACTCTGCAGCACTTTCCCTGGATAATGGCTTTGTGGGAGTGAATGTTTTAAACAACATTTGCCTGGTACTGAAAGTACTGTGAACACTAGCTAATAAAATATAACAAATCAGCCATGAAACCAAGGGAATTTCTGGAGAAAAAATCCTTTAAAAAAAAAAAAGACACAGAAACACAGCTATATTACAGTCATTAAAAAATGTTTTTTTTTTAAATAACTTATTTATCTACATTTATTTCTGTGTGTAAAATATATAATAAACATACAGACATGAACAGAGTGAAGCACTTTATGGAATACATTCCCTAGTGCTTACAAAAAATGTATTAGTGACTCAAGATGTGACCCCATGAGGGTATCAGGGGAAAATCTGACACACATTTTACCTTCAAAAAGCCACTGGGGTCATTAGGAAACCCTCCCTAAATGTTAAATTTTACATATTCATAACCTATTATTAACGCACATACTCCACCCTCCCCCACCTATGAGTTAAATATGACATCAGAGCGTCCTGGACATTTCCAAAAGCACTCTGTCCCCATCTTCAGCAGCCAGCACAAAGTTTAAATTCTAATGGTGCCAGCAGCAGTCTGATTGTATGATAATTTCGCCTTTCCTCTGAGTTTTGAGGACTGCCAGATCCAATGGTTTTCTCCCTGATGCATATTTCTTTTCAAACCATGACATGATGCTCTACCTGTGCATCTGCACTGTTCACTCACTCCCAAAAGACCCCAAAGCACCTTCAAAACACTCATCTTTCATACTGCAATTTCAGTTTATGTTTAGAGCATGTTATGTTCATATAACAATATACATTCAAAGAGAGAGAGAGAGAGGGGGAAAGGGGGGGGGGGAGAGAGAGACAGAAAGAGAGAGAAAGACAGACAGACAGAGCTTTATAACATAAAGTGACCCTTACTTCAGAAGTCCACTGTGCGTGGAGTCACCTTAATTTTTGTTCCGGGACACACAGGCGTCGATGGAAATGAAAGAGCTGACAGGTTGGCTGGATCCGCTATCACTACCGACGGTCGGCCTATGGATCATGCTGATATTATCAATGCCCTCAGAGAAATGGGAAGGATAGAGGACTTTGGTGGCAGTGAATCCACATAACTCGCCAGAATGGCAGACTAGGGAATTAAGATCGGCACAGCAAAAAACGAGATGCACACCAGACACGTCAGAAGACTTGTTAATCAACATAGAACTGGTACTATTAGCCATCGGACGTTAGGGTTCATACTGAGGGGAGGATCTGAGCACCTATGGACATGTCCAGAGTGCAATGATGATAACCCAACTAACTAACTAACTGACCCTTACTGTGACAATAATCTTTGCCAACTGACCTAGTATCCCCTTCAGCTTTTGCGATGTGACCAAAAATGTGAGCAAAAGAGTTTGGGATGATGCCTCTCTTCTCTGGAATTGCCCTCAGCCCTTCCATGGTGAAGGTCTTGCCTGTCCCAGTCTGGCCATAAGCAAAAATGGTACCTACAAGTTTGGGAGTAACAGAATGAGACATCATATTTGTTAATATTAACTGGAGGGTAGGAAGACAATTCTTGCATGCTATACAGAGCCAGTGGACAGTTGAAAAAACTAGCCCAAAAATATCTTGAGGCTTTGGAGCTAGGGTCTTACAGAAGAATCCTTAGAATTCATTAGACAGCTACAAAGAGCAATGCAATGTTTTGAAAGAGGCAGGTGCTCGAAGACAACTTATCACAAACATCAGAAAGAGATAGTCATCATTTTTTGGTCATGTTATGAGAAGAGGGAAACTAGAACTAGGTTGTGACCACTGGAAAGATTTGTAGAAAGAGAGACAGAGGAAGACTCTTGACAGCCTTCTGTCACAGCAAATAAGGTGTCAACACACAAACTGATACACACATATGCGCATCACAGATTGTGAACAGGCATGATCCCCCATGCAAGGAACTTGATGATGATGATTTGTTAATATAAAATGACAGCAAAAATTGTTTTACTCTTGGCAAATTCAAAAGTGTGAATAGTCCTCGATGGTGAATGTCTGAGTTATGAGTAGTGTTATCTCCACCAAACTCCAGAAATGTCCGTAGGTGGTCAGATTTTCGATTTCACATGGGTCTGCAGGTTAATAGTGCCAGTCTTAGGCTGACTGACAAGACTTTAGTCCAGTACACCTCTCATGCCTGGCTGAACCAATAATTACTCAAATTCTTGCATTCTTAGCAATGATGTGGACACGCTGCTCCAAAAATGCTCTGAATGATATTTTAAGGACATGACAATGTTGGCATCATCCATAGGCTAGCCATTTGCAACTAGGCAGAACCAGCCAATCTATCACCTCTTTTATGGTGAATGTCCAAATCCAGACAGGCAAAAACATGTTTAAAGTTTACAGTTAGACCATCACAGCTTCAGAGTGTATGCAATATTCTGCCATTATATTTGTGATGATCTAAGACAGTGGCTCTCAAACTTCCTAATGCTGCCACCCTTGAATACAGTTCCTCATGTTGTGACCACCCTTGAATACAGTTCCTCATGTTGTGACCACCCTTGAATACAGTTCCTCATGTTGTGACCACCCTTGAATACAGTTCCTCATGTTGTGACCACCCTTGAATACAGTTCCTCATGTTGTGACCACCCTTGAATACAGTTCCTCATGTTGTGATGACCCTTGAATACAGTTCCTCATGTTGTGACGACCCTTGAATACAGTTCCTCATGTTGTGACCACCCTTGAATACAGTTCCTCATGTTGTGATGACCCTTGAATACAGTTCCTCATGTTGTGACGACCCTTGAATACAGTTCCTCATGTTGTGAAGACCCTTTAATACAGTTCCTCATGTTGTGAAGACCCTTGAATACAGTTCCTCATGTTGTGACCACCCTTGAATACAGTTCCTCATGTTGTGATGACCCTTGAATACAGTTCCTCATGTTGTGACGACACTTGAATACAGTTCCTCATGTTGTGAAGACCCTTTAATACAGTTCCTCATGTTGTGAAGACCCTTTAATACAGTTCCTCATGTTGTGACAACCCTTTAATACAGTTCCTCATGTTGTGACGACCCTTTAATAAGTTCCTCATGTTGTGACGACCCTCAACCATACAATTATTTTTGTCACTAATTTATAATTTCAATTAATAGTTTTTTGTGATAGTCTTTGGCGACCCTTTTGAAAGGGTCATTTGACCCCCCAAAAAAAGGTCTCTAGAACCGCTGATCTAAGGGATGAAACTGAAGCACTTACGAGGTGAACCCAGTATGAAATCAACTAAACTAAGTGTGGAGAGGCATACCACTGTACACAGCCAAAATGCACTATTTACAAATACCACTGTACTATAGTAAAGGACCTTTTTCTACGCTTTTGGGCATACTCGTCATATAGGGCTAGTCCTTTATTTTATAGACCAATCAGCACTAGGTAGGTGATGTGGTCAACATCATGCCGGTCACCTTTACTTCCCAGGACTGCACCTGGTACTCACTCAAGGATGGGTCGACCTGGGAACCAAGGTCATTTTTTAAGAAAGCCATGTTGCTTCAGGACCTAAACCCATGACCTACATATCCGCAGGCGAGTATCTAGCCGCTGCACAACAGAAACTTCCTATCACTGTACTATACACCTCCAAAGTGGACTATATACACTACTTTCCCATACCCCTTTAAAAAATCATTGTATCCCTTCAAAACATCTCTGTAGCCCTCTGAACATTTATACCCTTCCAAAAAAAAAAAATGAATTTTCAGAGAGCATACCATTTTACCTTTCCAAAACATGGACTACACATACCACATCATACTGACCCCTCAAAAACACAAAAATATACCATAGTACACCTGCAAAACACTGACTATACAGAAACCATACTACTGTACATCTCCAAACCCTGGACAGAACACATACCATTGTAACCCTCTAAGACACAGTCAACAACAGGCCGGGCCACTTTGTTGTAGACATCCAGTTGATTGCAATCTGGGCCGAACACAATGTCAAAGGTGAAGGTTTTAGGAATCTCATCATGTGAGCTCTGAGGGTTCTTTACTGTCACAGTACCTCTGACCTCTTCCACCTATGAGGGTACACAAGACATTGCAAAGGTACTTCAGACTTTTGTTGTTGTTTTATAACTAAAAGCATTTACATGATTTTTAAAAAGGATATACTCCCCATGTGGGGAAAATGAATAGACCCATTGCCTCCCTAAAAAGTGTCAAGGAACCAACAGTCTGTATACTCATGAGCCAAATCTGTAAAAATGGCTGTGCATACTAAATTCTACTTCTGGGAAAGACAAGTTCGGAAGTGAACAACCAACAAACTTTCTGCTGCAGTTTACAGCCAGTGAAGTCTAGCAGACAAAAGAGTATACCAGATTGCTTTAGCAAAGAACGAGTCGAGACTACAAATAAGTTATGAAAATACCAATATACTGAAACACCAACAACAGATCAAACAGATGTATCACTAGAGACAAAAGTAGTTTTCACAGATCAATTTACTAATTTAAGTAGTAATTTTGATAGTCAAGGAGATTCAAAGAATGAAATTATGACGGCCATTGGCAAGGCATCAGCAGCTTTTAACAGCTTCAACAAAATATGGAACTCTAAACTGTATGATTTTAAAACTAAGATACGTATTTTCAATTTTAATGTTGTTTCAGCTTTAACATGTACAGATGAAATTAGTAGAATACCTAAAGACATGGCAAGAAAATGAGGAAAATATGGGATGGATTCAAAAGGAGTGAAAAAATAAGAGAAATGCTTGGGAAGCCACAAGTATCAACAGTTATAGGAGAGAGAAGATGACGCTACATTGGACACATCCTGAGAAGAAACCAGCTGAGAATCACCAAACAGGCATTAAAATGGGAAATATAGGGATTAGAGAAGCGAGGACACCCAAGAGAAACCCTAAAACAAATGTTGATGAGAGAGGCCAAAGCTGCTGGACTGGATTCCATCCATGATATTGAACTGATTGCACATGATAGAAAGGAATGGAGGAATAGACTGAAAGCCCTATGTGACATATAGTGGCACAACAGGATAATAATAGTTGTAAGTATAGATATATAAATATACATATATGCTCAAGGTGGCAATATTTCAGACTTTTTTTTAACTTAAGAGAGTACACAAGATATTTACCACAACAAATCAGGCATGCTTGACTTAGCATAACATACAAGACAAGGCAACATTACCTCAGACTTTTCTAAGTATAATGACACTGCAATAAAGTTGTTTTATATAATGCAACATTGCCTGTGAACTGTAAATTCTGTTTAAATTTTTGTTAACCCTTCAGGTTTTGTAATTCAGTCTCTAAAGTTTATGATCAGCACTGATGATTTAGCTGAGGAAATACCAAAAGCAAACAGTTTAATTAGGACACAAACATCTACTGACCTTCACCACAATCTTGCAGTTTGTCTCAACCTCTTTGTCATTGAGTGGCCGTGACCTGACCACAACTCTGACAGTGTCAATATCCTTCATACTCTTGCTCTCCTAGAGACAAAACACACAGAGACATTAACAATATCAGCTTCATCCAGGGACAAAACACACAGAGACATTAACAATATCAGCTTCATCCAGGGACAAAACACACAGAGACATTAACAATATCAGCTTCATCCAGGGAAAAAAAAACACACAGAGACATTAACAATATCAGCTTCATCCAGGGAAAAAATACACACAGAGACATTAACATTATCAGCTTCATCCAGGGAAAAAAAACACACAGAGACATTAACAATATCAGCTTCATCCAGGGACAAAACCCACACAGAGACATTAACAATATCAGCTTCATCCAGGGACAAAACCCACACAGAGACATTAACAATATCAGCTTCATCCAGGGACAAAACCCACACAGAGACATTGACAATATCAGCTTCATCCAGGGACAAAACCCACACAGAGACATTAACAATATCAGCTTCATCCAGGGACAAAACCCACACAGAGACATTAACAATATCAGCTTCATCCAGGGACAAAACACACAGAGACATTAACAATATCAGCTTCATCCAGGGACAAAACCCACACAGAGACATTAACAATATCAGCTTCATCCAGGGACAAAACACACAGAGACATTAACAATATCAGCTTCATCCAGGGATGAAACAACACACAGAGACATTAACAATATCAGCTCCATCCAGGGACAAAAAAACCAAACAGAGACATAAACAATATAAACTTCATCCAGGGAAAAAAACAAAACAGAGACATTAACAATATCAGCTTCATCCAGGGAAAAAAACCAAACAGAGACATAAACAATATCAGCTCCATCCACGCATAAAACACAGAGACATTAACAATATCAGCTTCATCCAGGGACAAAACCCACACAGAGACATTAACAATATCAGCTTCATCCAGGGACAAAACACACAGAGACATTAACAATATCAGCTTCATCCAGGGATGAAACAACACACAGAGACATTAACAATATCAGCTCCATCCAGGGACAAAAAAACCAAACAGAGACATAAACAATATAAACTTCATCCAGGGAAAAAAACAAAACAGAGACATTAACAATATCAGCTTCATCCAGGGAAAAAAACCAAACAGAGACATAAACAATATCAGCTCCATCCACGCATAAAACACAGAGACATTAACAATATCAGCTCCATCCAGGGATATAACACACAGCAATTAATAATATCAGCTCCATCCAGGGATAGAACACATAGAAATTAGTAATATCAGCTCTATTCAAGGATAAAACATGCACACAGAAATTAACAATATCAAGATCACTCTGGCTGTCTTTAGTTGCAAGGACTTTAGCTGGTTCTCATTTTAGTCAGGGCCGACCTGACAGCCAAGGTCATCTTTAACAATATCTAACTGCATGGAAAAGCAAAGACCCTCAATGCCATTTAAAGGTTCCTATTACCAAGTTTTCTGAATATGACAAGAAACGCAACACAGGACTATTTTTTTCATGGGTTACATAAGAGAATCAGCCTTTAAGGAAGAATACTGGGGCTTTGGAGCTTAAATGCTATAGAAAGATTTTTAGAACTCACAAGAAGAGAAATACTGACATCCTAAAAGATCGCAATGGCAGGGAAGACTGGCAAGTAAAGAGCATCTTGTCTTGGAAACAAAATTATTTTGGACACATTTAGTGACATGGAGGACTGACAACAAATTATAGCAGAAGGCATGGTACCAGAAAAGAGGGGCAGAGCCTTGCAATCAAACAGTGCTAAGTGAGTCTGCATGAGCCTTGCAATCAACCAGTGCTAAGTGAGTCTGCATGAGCTTTGCAATCAACCAGTGCTAAGTGAGTCTGCATGAGCCTTGCAATCAACCCATACTAAGTGAGTCTGCATGAGCCTTGCAATCAATCAGTGCTAAGTGAGTCTGCATGAGCCTTGCAATCAACCCATGCTAAGTGAGTCTGCATGAGCCTTGCAATCAACCCATGCTAAGTGAGTCTGCATGAGCCTTGCAATCAATCAGTGCTAAGTGAGTCTGCATGAGCCTTGCAATCAACCCATGCTAAGTGAGTCTGCATGAGCCTTGCAATCAACCCATGCTAAGTGAGTCTGCATGAGCCTTGCAATCAACCCATGCTAAGTGAGTCTGCATGAGCCTTGCAATCAACCCATGCTAAGTGAGTCTGCATGAGCCTTGCAATCAATCAGTGCTAAGTGAGTCTGCATGAGCCTTGCAATCAATCAGTGCTAAGTGAGTCTGCATGAGCCTTGCAATCAACCAGTACTAAGTGAGTCTTGCAATCAATCAGTGCTAAGTGAGTCTGCATGAGCCTTGCAATCAACCAGTGCTAAGTGAGTCTGCATGAGCCTTGCAATCAACCAGTGCTAAGTGAGTCCTGCAAAAACTTTGCAATCAACCAGTGCTAAGTGAGTCCTGCAAAAACTTTGCAATCAACCAGTGCTAAGTGAGTCTGCATGAGTCTTGCAATCAACCCGTGCTAAGGGAGTCTTGCATGAGCCTTGCAATCAGCCCGTGTTGAGTCTGCAGGAGCCTTGCAATCAACCAGTGCTAAGTGAGTCCTGCAAAAACTTTGCAATCAACCAGTGCTAAGTGAGTCTGCATGAGTCTTGCAATCAACCCGTGCTAAGGGAGTCTTGCATGAGCCTTGCAATCAGCCCGTGCTAAGTGAGTCTGCAGGAGCCTTGCAATCAACAGTGCTAAGGAAGTCTTGCAGGAGCTTTGCAATCAATCAGCGATCTCCTTCAGCAATGCAGATAATAAAATTAATCTTCTTCTTCTTTTCATTCTCACTGGCAGAGGTTTTCAGATGAGAAGGCCACAGGCCTCTATGAAGTCTGTGTTGTGGTGATACACATATCTTACACTGCTCTATACAGCGTAGTTTGGGCTCCTTTGGGAGAGAGGGTTCGGTACTTGGCCTGCCTGACAGGGTTCAACAGGCTCATTATCACATCCATTGCTCTCTTGTTTGGACATTGGCATTAAAGGAAGGAGTTGAATGGTTCCGTAGTTTTCAGCTGTGAAATTTTTCTGGTCTATCCGCATCTTTCAGCCTGGCACCTTAGACTTCAGCATGCTTTTCTATTAGGATGAGCTCCTACAGATGGACTGCTGTCCCCAACTGACCGGTGCATACAGTATTACCAGAGATGAGGCCGATTCCTCCAAGCTTTAACTTCCAATGTGACAATGAAGGGCTTACAAATGCTTAGAACTAGCCGCTGCCAAATTAAAGAAATTGCTGAAGTTATCTCAATTTAAATTCTTTCTACTTCTGTTACTAAACAAAGTTCCATAATTACTCCACTGGGTTTTCTTGTACCTTGCGGTCTAGAATGAAGAATAAACAGTATGATTCTTAACCTGCCCAGACTGGACTACAGGCTAACTTCACAACCATTAGGTGACTTAATGTAATTGCTTTACGGTTGAACTGGGTTTCTTGAATATGTTTGTTCTCATCTGAATGGTGTCTCTTTGAGTCTCTGGGTGTTAATTTTTCAGAATACAATCCTGGAAAGAAGGTTGGGGGAGGAGAGTGACTAGGAATTGTGTACATGAGCTTTAGATAATGCAGTCATATTTCACTGTATCTTGGCAGGTGCATTACCATTAGTACAGTTACACCAACCTATAATGAGGCAAACAAACTGAACTGATTTCAGTGAATGTTGAATTAAGAATCAGCATCACATCACATGGGACACTCCCAAGAATGCTCCATCCTTATCTTCAGCAGCGAATTTCAACGGTTCCAGTAACTGTCTGATCGTACATCCGTCTTCCCCTGAGTGTTGAGCGCTGGCCAGATCCCCCGGTAACTCCTTGCAGCACTATAATTACAGTGAAATACATATCACATGATCCCTCTCAATCCAGTGTTAGTCTAGCTGTCTATACTATTTAAATTAACTACAAGAACACACTATTTCGAGTATACTGATTCTCAAGACTATGGTTATTTCCTTCCTCAGTGATCTGTCCTTTATATTTACAATTACATGGTCAAGGCTTTCTGTCCATTTCCATCTGGTATATAAATTATATAAACACCTCAAAAACTGAAGTAATGACCATAGGAAAGAAACACAGTAATGTAAGCATAAAGATCAATGACATACAATTAGAACAAGTTCAAGAATTCAAGTACTTAGGATGCATATTTACAGAAGATGGAAGACTCGATAAAGAGATACAGGCTAGAGTTCAAAAAGCCAATGCAGTCAACTACCAACTGGCCCCACTTCTTCGTCATCCAAAGATCTCGTTACCAGCCAAACAACGGATGATCAACAGCATTTTCATCCCTAAGTTATGTTATCAGTGCCAAACGTGGACAATGAACAAATCACATATGCAAAAAATAACTACATGTGAAATGCGATGTCTCCGAAGAGTCACCAACGTCAGCATTAGAGACAAAGTTGGAACAATAGCATGCATGAAACATATTGAAAGACAGAGAATGAAGTGGTTTGGTCATTTAGTAAGAATACAACCGGATCAGATTGCCTATAAGGCCTTTTACAATAGAACATCGGGAAGAAAGGCCAGAGGAAGACCCAGGAAAAAATGGATAGATGGAGTAGCTGAAAACGGCCAGAAGATCCAGAAAACTGTCACTCAAATCACGCGAGAGGCACAAAACAAATATTTTTAACCACGACACTGGGCTGCAACCCGGTAAAAGTGTAAAAGTGAAGAAGACAATAGATAGATAGATATAAATTATAGAAATACTACGCAGTTTACTATTTCTTTCACCAGTTGCTTAATAGTATAGTTCAATGAAACAAGTAAGTAAAGTTTAGCAACAAGCGAACAAAAGACTAGACTAGTAAAAGTTAGAAATCCAGAAATTTAGAAATCTTTATTTCAAAATTTCTTTGCAACTTGACAATGTTTCCACACACATTTTAAATATTTAAAACATACTAACAGGCATTTTTATGTGTAGCTTATGGTTCGTTCTCTAGAATCCGAACTATCTGGTTGGAGGAAAGATATTACAGGCCATTAACCGAGAAACCCTAAAATCTTCGGTTCTAGATCGTCGACATCTGACTCCACTTCTGCTGTCAAGCTGGTCGTTAACATAAATATGTCTCAGTGCGCAGCCGCAGACAGATAACTCTTTTCCTGATCTTTCTCTTTTTCTTTCGCACTTGTTACCATTTAAGTTAATAATCATATTATCATTATTATCGTCATTACCAGAGCTTTTTTTCTGGCGACACACGACGGTATGCAGTATGACGCCTTTTTTAGTATCATTTTCATCACTATAGTAATAGAGACTTTGTGGTGAGTACCCGTACTTTCTGTTAAAGACATTTTTATTATGAATACTGGCACATTTATTTCTGTTTTACAATGAAGGGAGTAAACTGCAAGACCATTTGAACAGCATAAGTTCACCATGCAATATATCATGAAGCTGAATAGGACTAAGACTGAAATAACACAGGTCAGTAGAATTCCTTATCCGCAACATATATGATGGAATGATACTTGTATGGAGCAAGTTAAAGAAATAAAATACAGTTTTTAGGAGGTGTTTCTCGGAGGAGGGGTGAATAGATCGGAAAATAGAATCAAGATGCCACCGAGCCAGTGCACTTATATACTAAATGGCACCGTTATTAAGACATCCAAACATAAGTATGAGCACAAAGAAACAGATTATAAACAGCATATGCATAGCAAAATTGTGCTACCAGTGTCAGAACTGGACAATATTAAAGGCTAACTGCGAAAAAATAACACCTGAGATAAAAGTGAAAAGCCGCCAGCCTAACCACTTGAAACAAGCTAGAAATTATATAATTGTACAGGCTGTAGAAACAATACCATGCAGAAAATTCACTGACAAACAGAAGATCAAATGGTTTGGTCACCTAGTAAGAATGCAGACAGAACAATTACCAATGCAGGTGCTTCACCTGAAAGGATTTGATGTGAAATCAAGAGGCCGTCATGGGAGATCATGGACTGATGATATTAAAGAGATTCTACATCGACACGGACTAACAATAGCTTTTGCTACCCAACTGGTGATGGATAGAAAACTGTTCCTCCACGACACCTAATGACAGAAGTGGAAATTGATAAGAGATGGTGAGGATGATGATGATTGTCAGACACCTTTTATAGGTGTGACACCAGTACCGTTGTTTTTTGTGCCAGGTGTACCCAGACTTTCATGAACATGTAAACGCCGATGACCTTGTTCCAGTTTTCAAATAATGTTTATTTAAGAACTCATGATAATTGCAAAGTTAGTATGTTTATTTAAGAACTCATGATAATTGCAAAGTTAGTATGGCTTCCGCACAACGTTATCGACTACTGAGTAGCCACAGGTTTTATTCTTCTGGCTCATAAGCACACTAATCCCAAGTAGTAACTGGCTAAATACATCAACAGTACGCTGGTATAGCTGATCACAAACTCATCCTCGCAATATGAACAAAGTCATGAAAGGCTAGCAGACGCCTCTATAGCAATAATTACGTATCATCCTGGCTATCACACAACTTTATAATCCGGGTTCACAACAGAAACACTTGTCACAAGTACGAATAACCACCACTGTCCTCTTCACAGTTTTAAATCCAGTCCATCCCAAGCGAAAAACAATTCCCACATTTTAAAAGGGCACCAAAGAAACACATCCGTTCACTGGACTGTCAAACTACTAACTGCTGTGTGTCACTCTACCTGTTTGTCAAGTCCCCTTGTAACCTCCCCACTCAGTTACCCGGATCGCCCTGCGGGTCTACAACCGTCTGACCAGTAATTAACCTGTCTGCTGTTATGAGTCAGTCTAGTCGTTGTTTGTCTTTCTCTCACAGTGTGTGGTAAAGTTGACTCATGACAGGCTGTAGGAACAATGCCATGCAGAAAATTCACTGACAAACAGAAGATCAAATGGTTTGGTCGCCTAGTAAGAATGCAGCCACAACAATTACCAATGCAGGCACTTCACCTGAAAGGATTTGATGTGAAATCAAGAGGCCGTCATGGGAGATCATGGACTGATGATATTAAAGAGATTCTACTTCGACACGGAATGACAATAGCTGTTGCTGCCCAACTGGTGATGGATCGTAAACTGTTCCTCCACGACGCTTAATGACAGAAGAGGAAATTGATGATGATGATGAGGATGATGATGATGATTATGATGATGCAGTTAACTGTCATTGGAAGGAGCAGCCTCCCCGAAAGAAAACGAAATTTTGTCATGGCTAGTGGATGTAGAATGTCATAAAATTAATGTCATCAATCCATCTTCTCCGTGGTTGCTTTAACATCAGATCTTGTTTTGAATAGCACCTGTGTTTGTAAACTGTGGCTGCATTCTAACGACATGACAGCATAATTCCCATTGACGTTTTCCGTCTTCATTTTTTTTTTTTTTTTTTGGTTGTTAAAGTATTTTTAGGGTACTGAAATAAGCAACCTTTAAAAAATCATATTGTTAGTGAAAATGGAAAGCAGGAGAGTAAAAGGCAGGCAGCAATACAAGTGGGAAAATAAAGTCAAGAGTTCTCATGTGGGTTCCAAAGCCTCGTTTGGAAAGGGCCGGTTGGGAGTGGGAAAAGGGGGGGGGGGGGGGGGATTGTTAAACCAATGGTTGTCTAACAAGAATTTCGTAAAAATCGACTACCGGTAAATAGGGGTGTTTCACTCAAAGTCAAAGGAACCAGCAGTCTGCATACAAATGAGCCAGATCAATAAAACGGACGTGCATGAAAATCTCAAGTTCTGGAAACAGACTAATGTGCAGAAGTTAACGAACAACAAGAACTTTCCGTAAGTTTGTTTCATCCGGTGCACGAGAAGAAAAGAAGAAAGGCAAGGAAACAACAGTCTGTCAGAGTGTGTGGCAGTGTGTGAGTGTTAGAGATCCAATACTTCATTGTGGAGACGGCACCTAGGGGCTTAGGTCTCTCGAGTCCCCATTCCCTAATTAGCGTCATCATCATCAAGTGCCTTGCTGGCTATTGTGGTAACTGCTGCTTCCTGAGCACTGGCATGGGTTGCACAACAAGCGGCGACACATGCGGTAATCGTTTCAGACTCCATGTACAGGCTTCATACACACATACACACACACACAGAGAGAGAGAGAGAGAGAGAGAGAGAGAGAGAGAGAGAGAGAGAGAGAGAGAGACAGAGCCATTTTGTGTGTGATCATTTATATTACTTAGCATTGCACGTAATGATGACGTTAACGATATTGAAAGGTGTTCTTTAAGTCCCTCCACAGTCAAAATTTTTAAATAATTGCTTACTACATCAAGGGAATTGTGTAGTTTGTATAAGTCCACGAAACAAATATTCTGTCACTGTGAAGCAACTTCTGCCAGTCTCAAGTCAACCCCAGCACTCACAATTTCATGTTCAAATATTTCAACTGCAGATTTTCCAACAAGCACTCACAATTTCATGTTCCAAATATTTCAACTGCAGATTTTCCAACACGCAACAAACACAAGATAAAATGTGTTCACATCCTACGCACGATGTTTGTTTTATTTCATGAAAGCAAACAGCAGAAATCACATTAGATAATAATTTAATCTGCAGAGATCTAAAGAAACAAACAAAATCAGAGCTATAAAAATGCAATACAAAAAGATGAACTTATATGTATTCCATGTTATTCTATCTTTGAAGTAACGAATTTATTAGTTGTCAAATTTTGAAAACCGATCATTTAGCTTTTGGACTTCTGGATGACAAATGAACTCTTCTTAAAACATAGTTTTCTGTGGAATATAAAAAATATTGAAAGGTCTTGAAAAAACAAAATTAAAAATAAACACATTACTGTATCTATGTGCCACTTTTAGAGCGGTTTAAGGCAATATATTATTTATGACAATTCCCGCTCAGGTGTTGTAACCGTCTATAGAGTTGTCTCTGTGTTGAGATACAAAACAACTCCACGGGGATTCACACTCGAATGGACGTCACTTAGTGCAACAACGCCTGCCATTTAATACGCCAACATCTACTTTCAGAATAGAGGTGGAGGTGGTCAGTGCAGCCTCCCACTAGCTCGAAAACTCGCTGCACACACATATCATGATTGTAACTGACTCAGCGAATAATACAATCAATTTTTGTTGCATGTCTTTGGTGTGTCTCCAACTGTCATTGGCGTATGTTACAACTGAAATAGGAGTGGAATTGAAAATATGCAACTTTGTTTTAAACTACATAATTTAGAGTTTCATGTTCTGGTCTATTACTTACCATTTTTATGCACAACTTTTGCATTCCTTGCAGACGTCACAGATTTTGGAGTCCTTCAGTATCTGAGACTGGTAGAAGGCTGTCACTTGGTTGTCTGATGGAAAGTTCAATTTCTCATTTGATGATACGTGAATATTGTACTAGGTCTAAAGATTCATTAGAGAAAGACAAAAGTAATGAGAATCAACTGGACAAACAGTAATCTAGTTTCTCTTAATGATATCCAATTCCAGAATGTCAAGCCCTCACCCATTTGGGCAATATTGTTGATAAGAAGAGAGAACTTATAGGGATATTAAAATACTATTTCAAAAAGCTAGAGGAGTTTTCATATCAATAGGAAAATTTTGGATGTTGAAACAGAAAATGAAACCTAATATTTTTTGTAATGTCACATAAGGGTTCTTATTACGATGTCCAGCCCAACAGAAACATAAAATAAACTTAATATTTTTTGTAATGTCACATAAGGGTTCTTATTGCGATGTCCGGCCCAAATACCCACTGGTTGGCCTTTCATTTATGCTTGCTCAGTCTAGTCTATGTTACAGGGGTGTCACGTTGTACTGTCTCCAATGCTGTTACCAGCAAAGACGCGTATACTATATTACCTTAAACCCCCTACCCCACAGCCTCAGCCTACGTCTCACGAGAGAGTGCAGCGTAAACCCGTGGTTT